ACCTTTCCTAAAAATCTATTGAAGGAATCATGTAAAAATACAGGTACATAAATACAGGAGGGGAAAAAAAACAAATACTAGATTTCTTTCCATTAGCTTCAGTAAGATTAAACAGTCAATATATTTCATCTCTAAAATGTGTTGACACAGTTTACGTAGAGGGGTTTACATATCATGTTAAGCAACAGATGGATGATATGTGCAGCCTAACTGTTCAGCTCAGAATTTACTGAAGACCAAAAACTACATAACATGCTAGGAAAATGGAACAACTCACAGGATTCTAAGAAGCCCATAACTTTTACTTTATTCGACAATTACCAAGTTATCTGTGTGATGTCAACCAATAGCCAAAACTGGCTCTATGAAAAGAGCCACTAACATCCTTTTGTGAATCTGTACATTCTATTTGTCAAACAAGAAAACCATCAGCCAAAACAGTCTTAACTTGTCCAAATAAAATCATCCTGAATCAAAACTTTACTCTTCCTGATCCTTCTTTTAATCAACAAAACCTCCTGTGCCTGGAGACACAAACAAATTGTGAGGCTTGCTAAGTTATAAACTTCCTAAATTCCTACAAATAAAATAGCAAGGTTGTGGTAGAACATGAGGTAATTCAAAGAAGTAGGGTAAGCTAGCTTACACTTACTACAGGACAGAAGTGTACAAATGGCTGTTACTGTATTACAGCTGGAATACCTGACACCCATCCTGATGCTAACTGTTTTAACTTCTTATCAAGTCTATATTTTCAGGATAAGGAGGGAACATGCCATAATTTTCTGCAGTAGAAAGATCTCTACCAAGAATGCTGTGTAATTTGATGTGCCAGTTCAAGGACTTGATTCAAGAACCTTAACTGATCTCAATTGTCAATGCAGACTTAAGGAAGAGAAATGGAATACTCTATAAACCCATTACCAACATGAACAGTAACAAAGGAGAATCTGATCTATTGCTTGAACTGTAGATAAGACCTCCTCAGACGCCTTAAGAGAGTATAAGAATTCTGCACCGATGAAACATTTAAACAAGTTATACAATTTAGAAATATGCAATTTGAATCATGACACCAAATTGCCAGATGCACAAGAGAATTTAGTAAGACTTTCTATACAGAAACAGGAGTAGTTTTGTGATCACCTCAAAGGACTGCTTTGACTCTGACTTTCACTGCATGCACATCTGTTTCTACACTGGCCCCAAAACCACTTCAGCTCTTCTCCTCTTGCCACCTTCATACACGTACCACCTACTACTTAAGAAATATTCATCTTTCTTTTTACCTTCCACTTCTGGAATGCCACTTAAAAATAGTCAACTTACTTTGGCCAAACTGAGAAGCATTTAAGATATCGTTAATTACACACCCTGGTTTTATACTTTTCCACCTCTCCTCAAATAAAGTGCATACAGCAGAAGGCATGCAACATTAAAACAGTCAATGAACAAATTTCATCAAAAGATGTATTTTTCCAAGGACATGATTTACAGGTAAGCACAGGAAACCTCCCACTTGTCTCCATTAGTAAAAAGCAGTTGTGTTAGCCCTGAAGACCATGTCCAACATCTTGAATGAATCCAAATGTAATCTCCCCACTGCCACTTTATTCCTCCTCTAGTCTCATTATTATAACTGACGTGCTTGATTTCTACACCTGGCTAACACATTTATCTGAAAAACTGCCATTCTACAAAGTTTTTACTTTTTCTGGATGCATAATTCTGGAATGCAGCAAGAAGAAAGGAAGTTTGGACTTCACAGAAAAGATGTTTTCCAGCTTTAGTTTACTTCCCAATAAACAAAGAGAACCAAAAAAAAAAAAAAAAGTCCAACAAAAAACAAAACCCTTGAAGGCACAGAAAGCCTTTTAAGAGTAGATGTACCTGAATGAGCAGTTTTAATAAACCTGGGTTAATAACCTTTTAGAAAGTAAAACCTGACAAAAAGATCTTAAAATTACCTCATTCATAGGGGAACTTCTGTGAAGCCTATATCTAGTACAGTTTACAGAACTTACTGAACCATCATCTCCTACTTCATTAAGCAAGAGGACTGAGAGGACATAATTTCATAGTAGACATCATAGCCAGAGGACAGATCCAGTTCAAACACAACAAACAAACCTGCAAACCCTACTTTCTCCACTTAGCAAGATTCATCCAATAGAGTACAGAACAACAGCACCAACTACTCTTAGACATGTATTTGATATGGAAACAAGGCAGAGAAGCAGCACTAACACAGTGTAAGCTCTTGTACACAATTATTTGTACATAATCTGATTGGCACACTATCTTGTTTCATCCACAGGATCTTTGAGAATTAAAATTTATGACAAATTATTCACAATGGAGTAACTTTGGTGTCATCAGACAAATAAAATCACATGTATATGTGCACTGGTTCCTAAATGTACCATCACTATAGAAGTAAAAATATTATTTAATAGTGCTAATAGGTTAAAATTATACCAATCAAATACATATAAAGAATGCTTCCAAACACAGCCAGTTTCTCTTTTCCATGATGGCCTTCTATCCAGAAACCAAAACAGAAATAAAAAAAAACAAACATAGAAACTGTCCAGGTGTCAACATTTGCCTTGCTTTTTTTTTAAAACTGACTATTTCCCAATACTTCTACTACAAACTGACTATTTCAATTTGACATTCATTTTAGAAGCATCTTCAAAAACATATCTTTAAATGATCATTCCTATGATTGCATCATAATGCTAACAAATAATGTATTCAGATTAATGCAGGCATATTTGGAAGCAAATAAGCTAAAAACATTAACGACTTCTTTTATTAAGTTACCAAGAATTAACATGATTAAGTGTGTTGAAGCACTGCTTCAATTTTTGCTCAGATACCTACTCATAGGGCTCAGCAAACAGGTACACCTTCAGTCAACTTTAAACTAGGACACACATACAGATTAAACACTACCAGTAGATGAAAGAGGGTGCACTGAAATCATAAAGATGTAGCTTTAACTTGGAATGGCATGAGCTGCTGAAACAATGCTTACAATTTTTTTGTTTAAGCATTCTGACATACAGTCAGAATGCAGATTGTATAGCAAACACAGCTAAAAATTCGAACACGGGAAAAACATTTCTATTGCCCTTCTTTCCTCAAGCTTCAAACTCCATCAGTTAGGCAAAATAACACAGTTGTCACCTTCTGAAATACAAATTTAGAGAGCCTGAAGTAGTTATTGTGATTCAGTGCACTTCATTAGTATGATTTGCTTTAAAATCCCTCCTCTCCAATCGTGTCACAAGAATGACTCAAATAAAAAGACAGTAAATGTTAGTTGTACCTTCCTCAAAAACTGTCTGCTTCACAAGACATCCTTATATCACCAGTGTTACCCTAACACAGGAAAATGAAGCGGGTGACTGGAAAGAAGAAAGCAACTCTAACAACTAGATAAAATTACTAAGACAATTTCTGCACAGTCATTCAAGCAGTAACAGCAGATATTCTGAAAAAATGACACTGAAACTGGCTTTAATTTATTGCTAACTGTAAGCAACACCTTACATGAATGGGGATTTCATACAACACAGGTAAATCAAAGTAGAATCTGTTTATATAATGCAACCACTTGTTAAATTTCCCTCACCATAGAAAGTTCTTATTTCCTTTGCAACACAATGACTTCTGCACATACAGCAAATGGGATACTTAAAAAAGAAGCCACAGGCTCCATGCTGAACAATTCTTCCAGGGGTTCTGGTAAGAATGCATCTAAACCGAAAACATTCTTTTACGTACCTAGGAATTCAAACACCAAACACATTCATCGAGATCTGTACTTGTCACTAAAACAGCTCAAACAAGGTATTTTGCTCATCTTGGAGCATTTTCTCTACATATATTCCCAATTGGACAGTCTCTACTTACTTAAAAAAAAAAAATTTCCTTAGATGTTAAGCAAACTTCAGACACCCTACCAAGCACAGGAGACTACCACAGTATACTGAACAGCTATAATCATTGCTAAAGATCTGGAAGGAACATATGTATAAATCAAACATAACAGCAGTGACATTTACAAGAATGTAGACATTTCACTGCTTCTATCAACCCTTTCACCAGCTGTAAAACTATACTGCAACCATGCCTGCCTCAGAGCTCAGGTGCAGACAGAAGAGCAGGGATTCAATCCTCCATTCACTTTGTTTCCCACTCCCCACTATCTCCTTTAAAAAGAGGGGACTCTGGAAAGAACATCATCTCTCTTATTTGAATAGATTTAAAGTTATACAACACATGGTAAAGACTAATGGCCACAAACACTGTTATATTCCCTCCCTCCCAAAACAAGATGGTAGATTTTGCAAAGAATTTCCTGAAATACTATTTTTAAAGTATTAGGTAATAAAATCAAATATTAAAAACCTCTTCAGTTACCACCAAGAGTACAGATAAAGCAGACATTATTCCTTTTATTAAAACTGAATCACTGCAAATCAGGAATCCATTAGGTTTCTGATACAACTTCTCAGCACCAAACTAGCATTATCATCACCTTATGCTAACACCACATAATATCTGAAAAATGTGAATATTGTTTTGTTTCATTCCATCCCTTCAGAAAGCTCTAAGTCAACATCCATCACAGCTCCCACAGTTTTAAGAACTGGGGTAGGGAGGTCAAGCTCAAGCCAAGTTAACAGTCACTCTCTCTACCACAGGAAAAACTACATACTGTAGGGCCCCGTGAATAAGTAATTACAATTAAATGAATGTTTTATGAAGGAAATGCACTTGGTTTTAAAGGTCACAAAGTGACAGATAAGAGCATACAGTGGAACAAATCCAGCAAATTCCTGATTGACCTGCAGGGTCAATGAATCCAAGCAATGAATGCTTCTGCTCTTTAAATAATTAAAAATGTCAAAACACAATGGCTGCAGACAACAGTGTTAAGAATGCAGACAGACCCAATAATCTACTTCATATTTAAATGTTTCACTTACCTGTCCTGTGACTGCTCTTCATACATTCTTTCCTTTCCTTCTTTGAAGAGTCTTATAGCCCGTTTTGATTTTTTCATAAGACTGTCAATGTAGATTTTAAAATATTCGTTCTCACTGAGTTGTGCGAGTTTCTGGTTGTCATCATATTTGCTCAGTATAAGTCGCAAATGTTGGTAAGTGTCAGGTAGAATGTCAAGTATGTAAGGTGGGCTGTTTTTGAGTTGAAGCTTTGGGTTTTGGCACAATCTTACCTATAAGCAAAAACAGGAGAATGTAAAAGACAAGAAATATGTTTGGACAAAAACTGATCTGACATCTTCAAACTTATAGGTGTAACATACTCCTTCAATCTCCAGGCACAAAGAAGTAAATCCTACTTCATTAATATTCTGTGAAATCTCAACACAGACTCTTAATGTCAAAAGAGGCATAATTTGACTTAATCTTGTCACATGTATAAAAAGCAAAAAAACTTACCTACAAAGTTTGGGGGTTTTCCCTTAAAGTAAGAATGCCTTTGCCTGCCTAATATATGCTAAGGAGTATATTATCAAAACAGCATGCAACTAAAGCCAAGAGTAGTACTTTCATAGAGATCTGTTTGCTGTAAGTTAACTTACCTATGGATGTTTAAGCATCTACCAAGAACTGACATTCTAAATTACTTTGTCATCTGATGGTTCTCTCTTTTCTTTATCCAACAATACAACTTCTTAGAACCTACAGGAATTTAAACCCATTATTTTTCAGCTCCTGGTCGTACTAGAGGTTTGGTGATTTGATCTTGGCTGGATGCTTGGTGCCCACTAAAGCTTTTCTATCATTCCCCTTCTCAGTGTAAGAGGGGAGAGAATATGTCACGAAAGGTTCATGGGTCAAGATGAGGGCAGGGAGAGATCACTCACCAGTTACTGTCACAGGCAAAATAGACTCAACTTGGGGAACTTAATTTTATTACCAATCAAATCAGAGTAGGGTAGCAACTCCCTTCCTCCTGGGCTTAATTTTATCCTCTTGACCTCCTTCCCCCCAGTGACATATGGGGACGGTGACTGGGCGCTGTGGTCAGTTGCCACTGCCACATTGTCTCTGCCACTCCTTTCTCTTCAGTGGGAGGACCCCTCACACTCCTCCCCTGCTCCACCATGGGGCCCCTCCCACAGGAGGTAGTCCTCCACAAACTTCTCCAACATGAGTCCTTCCTGCAAGTTGCAGTTCCTCATGAACTGCTCCAGCGTGGGTCCCTTCCACAGCTTACTGTCCTTCAGGAATAGGCTGCTCCAGCATGCATCCCCTGCTGGGTCACAAGTCCTGCCAGCAAACCTGCTCAAACACGGGCTTCTCTCTCCACGGGTCCACAGGTTCTGCCAGGAACCTGCTCCAGCGTGGGTTTCCCATAGTCTCACAGCCTCCTTCAAGCATCAACCTGCTCCATTGTGAAGTCCTCCACAAGCTGCAGGTGAATCTCTCCACTGTGGACCTCCATGGGCTGCAGGGCACAGCTGCCTCACCATGGTCTGCACCAAGGGCTGCAGGGGAATCTCTGTTCCGGCACCTGGTGCACCTCCTCCCCCTCCTTCTGCACTGACCTTGGTGTTTCCAGACCCGTTTCTCCCACATATTCTCACTGCTCTCTTCCCTGCCTGCAACTGACTTCTGCACAATAACTTCTTTTCCAGCCTTCTTAAACACCTTATCCCACAGGCTCTACCACCATCATTGATGGGGGTCAGCAGCAGGTCTGGCACTGGCTTTATCAGATGTGAAGGAAGCTTCTGGCAGCTTCTCACAGAAGCCACCCCACAGTCCCTCCATTACTAAAACTTTGCCATGCAAACCAAATACAAGATCATCTTAATGGACTTAGAGTCTTCATGTTCCTAAATGGCACAAATATTAATTGATTATTATATATCTTACTAAAGAATAAAATTCAATTACTTGAGCAACTTTATTTCAATCTAGTCTCTACTGGGTACTCTTTTTGTTTCCTGAACATCTACAAGGTTAAAATTGTCTCCTGGCTACTCAAATTCTCTTATAATTTGTTCTGTAATGTTCTGTTGTAGAAAGCAAGAGAGATCAAAACTAACAGGTAGTTTTTCAGTGGTATTGCACTGCGCTGTCTATGATCAGCTAAAACACTGAAGAGGGACACGTTCTAAACATGTGCGTGCAGCTGTACATATGCAAATACTTACAAAAAAATTAAGTCCATGTGGTATAAAAGTTTTATAGGCATCATTTGGAGATTGCCACATTATATATTAGTGACTTTGACATTCTTTTGAGGTAACTAACGAGGTTGTAAAAACATCTTAATACTGCTGAAACTAGATTCCTATTCTAATGTATCAACTTCAAAAAAGTGCAGTCTTGAGCAATTCTGGGGGAGGGGGAACAAACTTGTATTCTCTAACACTCACCTCTCTAAACTCAAAGCTTTATCACTATTGTTGATCCCTCTTGCAATTTCTAGATCTAACCATTAACAAATTTACTGCCTTCAGACTGCTGTCACTAGCAGACCTTCAGGCACCACAAACAGCAAAGCAAACACATCATAGTTTTTTACCCTCTGAAACATACACATAAAAACACAATCAGGCAAGCAGACTTAGGTAACTGGGGTCATAGAAAAGTGGAGATAGAATTCTGAATGGACAAAAGTCAAGCACTAACAAGTTTTTAAAAAGAAGCCCAGCACCACTGAAACTGCACAAACTCATAAATACTGTAGAAATGCATTTTATCCAAAACAGTATTTAAGACATGACATTTGCAATAGCTCCCCTCATTTCACTGATCCATTGTTATTTTAGTAATTGCTACTATTCTTTCAACTACTAGACAAATTAACACACCAGGAAGCCTTTTCACAGAGAAATTTACAATCTCAGTAGGAAAAAAATGACAGCCAAGGGAAGCAGGCAAATATGAATACATAAGCATAACACTGTTGAACATGTTAGAGCGTAGTTCAGGCACTGAACACTAGCAGTTCGGTATTTCTAGATATAAACAGCAATGTTTCACAGCAAGGTCTCAAATAATTTTGTGGCTCATAAAAGAACTCCTCAGTTGAGGAAGAAGATAGAAGGAAGCAAAAAAGAGTAAAAGATTAAGATACTTAATCATCTCTTGACCTAGTAATAAAGTCTGGATCTGCAATCCATAAGTGCAAAGAGACTTTGAAAGTGAAAATAACTTGTTTATATTTCATGCAATAAAGATAAGGTCACCACAATAAATAAAGGGACAACAGGGTCCCAGTCGTGGTTTAGGACATGCCTGAAGTAGCATTCTCAAAGAATAAGGGTTGGATAGGATGGCATTCTTTCAAGGTCAGAAAAGCAAAGCTGAACTTTACATAGAGAACAGCAAAGCCTGGATGGAATGAGAGATTTAGGTGAATGGATTGACCTGAAGATTCAGACACAACTTCTAAAAGAGCAGTTCAAGTAAAGGAGTTGCACAAGTGAAGGCTGGATGACGGCGTCACCCCAGAAGATCAAGAAAGGAGCTAACAAGAGAAACTTATGGAAGGAGATTAAACATTTTTCTTGTTACACTGAAGTTAAGCTGACAGACTTCTTTAAGGAGATTTCAGACATCAGGCAAAGAATTTTGCATGTGTAGACAGACCTGAAAAATCATCCATGCAGAGACATACATGAATTTCTTTTTCTTTTGTAGAAGAGTAAGAAGAACTGGACTCTCAAACACAGAAGTGAAAACCTTTATGAAAAGCATAGATGTTTTCCCTCTGAACTTCTGTTCTCTGCAATTTCTGATTTAGTCAAAACTTGAAACTAGACTGACATTCTTCACAAAGCCAACTACAGGTGACACAAATCTGTATCACTGAGTAGGCCTCACAACTTTATGAAGCAACAAACACAGGGGAAAAAAACAGCTTAAAGATGGTGACATTTATTCAGAGGAAAAAGTCAGCAATGAAAGCACACCACAAGCAAAGAAGGCTGCAAACATTTTGAATTACTTATTTATTCTAACTTAAAACTCATGAAAAAAGAATTAATTATCTTCCTGAAGTCTATCTTTTCGACCAGATGTGCCAAGAAGCAAAATATAAGTGGTTTCATATATTAGAAATACCATTAAAATATTAAAACAACAGGAAAAAGCAAATTGTTTATGCTGATGGCTGAATGTTCAACAGTCAGTCCATTCAACTATACAAAAAGAATATCCAGTTATAAGGAAAAATTAAAAAAAAAATCAAAAAAATAAGTTTCTCTTTAAGAAGTTGTAGAAAGTCTTCAGTCCAGTGTCATTACATACAGTATATATACATATACACATCAAAACAGGATCCTACGGTCAAGATGGTTTACCAGGCTCCACCTTCTGATGAATTTACAGAGACAAATGCAGCACACTACCAGAACCTTCAACTTCAGAATAAACTTTTAAGAAAGTCATACAAAAAAATCTTCTGCACCTCAATTAGCCTTATACATTCTAATTGAAAAAAATTCTAACATTAAGTTCAAGTCAGTGATCCAGTGAAGTAGTACAAGGCTTTCTTTACTTTATAGAGTACACAAGGTTTTAGTTGAAAGGAAGTAATATTGTAAAGAAATGGCTGGTAAACCATATGGTTTCCAGAATGAGGATGTCCTGACACATACCACAGCAGTTCACAATTAAAAGTAAGCAACAAGAAATAACACCTGCTGACGCAAAAGATTTAGCAAGATCTTTCTTCAAAAGAAAACAGAACTCAAAACAAAACAAACAACCAAAAAACACTCCAAAAATAAAGACCTCCATATTGCACTTTACAAAGCAACTCTCACCAACACCTTAGGAGCGGACATGAATCATATCACTGTGTGATTTTTGTATTGTTTTGACTGGAAGTTAGCATGTACATATTTAGCAAGCAGTGTAAAAAAATTAAAAGCAGTCAGTCAACAAGTTAGTAAGAAATGTCTCTCCTGTTGAGGTAAACTGAGACAAAACTAAGCTCCTTCCAATACCTCACTCAGGGAAAATCCAAGTACTTAATCCAGAATCACAGAAATAAGAGAGTGCAATTCTGATTGTGAAAAACCGAGGCATTATCCTAATCTACCAGAAACTGATTTTGAAACAGTTAACTCTGGAACTTCTAGACAAGCTTACTCTAGTTCCTTTGTAGAAAAAAAATCAACCCCCTCTTCCCTCCTCTCTTCCTCCCCCACTAACCAAAATAAATACGACTACTCAACATTCTTTAATATGT